ACAATCAACTACAGGATAGTCTAGAATAGTTTATGGTCTGGACTATAGAATAGACTATAGTCTGGGCTATAGAATAGTCTGTAGTCTGGACTATAGAATAGTCTTAAGTCTTGCTACATAATAGTCTATGGTCTGGACTATAGAATAGCCATAATCTGGGCTATAGAATATAGCTAAGTCTATCCTTTAGTATAGTATATAGTAGTCTATAGTCTAGTCTATAGTCTAGTCTATAGTCTAGTCTATAGTCTAGTCTATAGTCTAGTCTATAGTCTAGTCTATAGTCTAGTCTATAGTCTAGTCTATAGTCTAGTCTATAGTCTAGTCTATAGTCCTAGTCTATAGTCTAGTCTATAGTCTAGTCTAGACTAGACTATAGACTAGTCTATAGTCTAGTCTATAGTCTAGTCTATATTCTAGTCTATAGTCTAGTCTATAGTCTAGTCTATAGTCTAGTCTATAGTCTAGTCTAGTCTAGACTATAGTCTAGTCTATAGTCTAGACTATAGTCTAGTCTATAGTCTAGTCTATAGTCTAGTTTATAGTCTAGTCTATAGTCTAGTCTATAGTCTAGTCTATAGTCTAGTCTATAGTCTAGTCCATAGTCTAGTCCATAGTCTAGTCCATAGTCTAGTCCATAGTCTAGTCTATAGTCTAGTCTATAGTCTAGTCTATAGTCTAGTCTATAGTCTAGTCCATAGTCTCTATAGTCTAGTCTATAGTCTAGTCTATAGTCTAGTCTATAGTCTAGTCTATAGTCTAGTCTATAGTCTAGTCTATAGTCTAGTCTATAGTCTAGTCTATAGACTAGTCTTTAGTCTAGTCTATAGTCTAGTCTATAGTCTAGTCTATAGTCTAGTCTATAGTCTAGTCTATAGACTAGTCTGGACTATAGAATAGTCTTAAGTCTTGCTACATAATAGTCTATGGTCTGGACTATAGAATAGCCATAATCTGGGCTATAGAATATAGCTAAGTCTATCCTTTAGTATAGTATATAGTCTAGTCTATAGTCTAGTCTATAGTCTAGTCTATAGTCTAGTCTATAGTCTAGTCTATAGTCTAGTCTATAGTCTAGTCTATAGTCTAGTCTATAGTCTAGTCTATAGTCTAGTCTATAGTCTAGTCTATAGTCTAGTCTATAGTCTAGTCTATAGTCTAGTCTATATTCTAGTCTATAGTCTAGTCTATAGTCTAGTCTATAGTCTAGTCTATAGTCTAGTCTAGTCTAGACTATAGTCTAGTCTATAGTCTAGACTATAGACTAGACTATAGACTAGACTATAGTCTAGACTATAGACTAGACTATAGACTAGACTATAGACTAGACTATAGACTAGACTATAGACTAGACTATAGACTAGAATATAGACTAGACTATAGACTAGAATATAGACTAGACTATAGACTAGACTATAGACTAGACTATAGACTAGACTATAGACTAGACTATAGACTAGACTATAGACTAGACTATAGACTAGACTATAGTCTAGACTATAGACTAGTCTATAGACTAGACTATAGACTAGACTAGACTATAGACTAGACTATAGACTAGAATATAGACTAGACTATAGACTAGAATATAGACTAGACTATAGACTAGACTATAGACTAGTCTATAGTCTAGTCTATAGTCTAGTCTATAGTCTAGTCTATAGTCTAGTCTATAGTCTAGTCTATAGTCTAGTCTATAGTCTAGTCTATATTCTAGTCTATAGTCTAGTCTATAGTCTAGTCTAGTCTATAGTCTAGTCTAGTCTAGTCTATAGTCTAGTCTAGTCTAGTCTAGTCTAGTCTAGTCTAGTCTAGTCTAGTCTAGTCTAGTCTATAGTCTAGTCTAGTCTAGTCTAGTCTATAGTCTAGTCTATAGTCTAGTCTATAGTCTAGTCTATAGTCTAGTCTATAGTCTAGTCTATAGTCTAGTCTATAGTCTAGTCTATAGTCTAGTCTATAGTCTAGTCTATAGTCTAGTCTATATTCTAGTCTATAGTCTAGTCTATATTCTAGTCTATAGTCTAGTCTATATAGTCTAGTCTAGTCTATAGTCTAGTCTAGTCTATAGTCTAGTCTAGTCTAGTCTATAGTCTAGTCTAGTCTAGTCTAGTCTAGTCTAGTCTAGTCTAGTCTAGTCTAGTCTAGTCTAGTCTAGTCTAGTCTAGTCTATAGTCTAGTCTATAGTCTAGTCTATAGTCTAGTCTATGTCTAGTCTAGTCTATAGTCTAGTCTATAGTCTAGTCTATAGTCTAGTCTATAGTCTAGTCTATAGTCTAGTCTATAGTCTAGTCTATAGTCTAGTCTATAGTCTAGTCTATAGTCTAGTCTATAGTCTAGTCTATAGTCTAGTCTATAGTCTAGTCTATAGTCTAGTCTATAGTCTAGTCTATAGTCTAGTCTAGTCTAGTCTATAGTCTATTAGTCTAGTCTATAGTCTAGTCTATAGTCTAGTCTATAGTCTAGTCTATAGTCTAGTCTATAGTCTAGTCTATAGTCTAGTCTATAGTCTAGTCTATAGTCTAGTCTATAGTCTAGTCTATAGTCTAGTCTATAGTCTAGTCTATAGTCTAGTCTATAGTCTAGTCTATAGTCTAGTCTATAGTCTAGTCTATAGTCTAGTCTATAGTCTAGTCTATAGTCTAGTCTATAGTCTAGTCTATAGTCTAGTCTATAGTCTAGTCTATAGTCTAGTCTATAGTCTAGTCTATAGTCTAGTCTATAGTCTAGTCTATAGTCTAGTCTATAGTCTAGTCTATAGTCTAGTCTATAGTCTAGTCTATAGTCTAGTCCATAGTCTAGTCATAGTCTAGTCCATAGTCTAGTCTATAGTCTAGTCTATAGTCTAGTCTATAGTCTAGTCTATAGTCTAGTCCATAGTCTAGTCCATAGTCTAGTCATAGTCTAGTCTATAGTCTAGTCTATAGTCTAGTCTATAGTCTAGTCTATAGTCTAGTCTATAGTCTAGTCTATAGTCTAGTCTATAGTCTAGTCTATAGTCTAGTCTATAGTCTAGTCTATAGTCTAGTCTATAGTCTAGTCTATAGTCTAGTCTATAGTCTAGTCTATAGTCTAGTCTATAGACTAGTCTTAGTCTAGTCTATAGTCTAGTCTATAGTCTAGTCTATAGTCTAGTCTATAGTCTAGTCTATAGTCTAGTCTATAGTCTAGTCTATAGTCTAGTCTATAGTCTAGTCTATAGTCTAGTCTATAGTCTAGTCTATAGTCTAGTCTATAGTCTAGTCATAGTCTAGTCTAGTCTATAGTCTAGTCTATAGTCTAGTGTATAGTCTAGTCTATAGTCTAGTTTATAGTCTAGTCTATAGTCTATTTTATAGTCCAGTCTATAGATTAATCTATAGTCTAGTCCATAGTCTAGTCTGGACTATAGACTAGACTTTACTCTGTACTATAGAATAGTTTATAGTCTGAACTATAGAATAGTCTATAGTCTGGACTACAGTCTAGTCTTTAGTCTAGTTTATAGCCAGTTTTATATTTAGTAGTATAATTTGCTTTATAGTCTTATCTGAAGTTTGTTCTGAATGAAAATAATTTATTTGATTTAATAACAATAAAACGTAATAAATAAATATTTAAATAAATTGTAAAAACAAAGTGTTCTATGATCATTGGTTTTTGTTGTGGAAATTTTAATTTTTCAATTCAAAAACAGTTGAAAAATTGAAAGTTCTATTGTGAATAAAAACTAAAATAAACAAACAATAAATATAACAAAAGATTATTTAAATTTTGTTTACAACAAAAATAAATAAATATTTGTTTTATTTTGTTTGTTTGTTTTGTTGTAATATTGTATTAAAAATTTAAAACAATTATTTTGTCAATTTTGAAAACAAACTGCGAAAAGTTGTTGCTCTAGTATTCAACGACAAAAGTCATTAAACGAAAAATTTACAATAAAAACAACAACAATAGCAACAAAATTGGTTTTGGAAAAAAAGAAATACATAACAAAAGAAGAGATTAATTTTTATGAAAATATAAACAAATAAATATGTAATTATTTAAATTAATTATTAAACAATGTTGTAGATTAAATGGCGAAATAAAATTGATTTAGTACTATTTTGAAAATTAAGTACTTTTTTGGGGTTTCTTTTTGAGAAGAAATGTTGATTTTAGTGTATGGATTTGAATTTTAAAGCTTTTGGAAAAAGTACTTTTTGAAAAATAGTACTTTTTTGGAAAAGTACTTTTTGAAAAATTGTAATTTTGTTGTTTAAAATTGTTTAAAAATGGAAAATTTTGTTAATTTATGGAAAATTTGTTTTTAAAGGAAAAAAGTACTTTTTTAGAAAAAAGTACTTTTAGGTTTTATACAAGAAAATTTGCAGGAATAATTGGCTTATGTTTAAAATTTAATTTTCTGTAAAAGTTTTACTTTCTTTTGGAAAAAAGTACTACTTTTTTGAGAAAAAATACTACTTTTTGCAAAAAGTACTTTTAGCAAAAAAGTACCTTTTTGCCTTAATAATAAAATTTTAATTAGAAATTATATTTTAACACATTTGCCACAAAAAGTACTTTTAAAAAAAGGTACTTTTTTGAAAAAGTACTTTTTCGAAAAAAGTACTTTTTTGAAAATTTGTCTGTTTTTGTTTAAAACGAAGAATAAATTATGTTTTAACACTAAAATTTCTTTATTAGCACTATAATTTCTTTATTAAACTACCTTTTTAAACACTTTTCCTTTTTTTTAAATTTCAAGTTTTCAATTAAAATTCTGGGAATTTCTTTTCATAATGTTAAAATAATCATGTATTTTTAAACTGTATATTTTGTTTAAAGACAATTAAAATTCTTAACACAGAAAAACAAATATTTATGTTAATTTTTGTTTTTATAATAAAATTTAATTTCAATTGTTTTGTTCCTTTTTAAAAATTAACACTTTAATAAAACTGGTTTTCAATTATCAACAGATGTTACTGTTTACTTAATAACTTTTATTTAAATTTATTTAATCCTTTTTTACGCACCTTTTTTTATTGAAAATTTTAAATTTTCTTTTCTTTAAAATGTCTTTTTCGCAACCTTACGAATGGTTTTTGCTCTTCTGTCCTTTGGTTTTGGTTTTAAAAGGGAAACTTTTAGTTTTTAACAACTTCAGCAAACACTAAGAGGTTTTGAGCTCCTAACAGCTCGAAAACAGTAAATTTTTTAGTCCACCGCACAGCTTTTTATATCAAAAAAATTCTCTTCAATCAATCTAAAGATTTTGCTCTTATTTGTAGATAAGCTGATAAGCCTTTTTTCCTAAAAGCTTGTTTATATAGAGAAGCTGCAAATGTTGCCTTATCATATTCTTTTTACAATTTATCTGTAATTTAAGTTAAGCAAAAAAAAATTTCTTAAATTTTTTTTTTAAGTTTTACTGACTTACACAAATTTCTAAAAGGTTCAGGGCTTGCGCCCATAAATCATTGTAAATTTTAAAACTGATAAGGAGACACATATCTGTATGCAAATAATCAACAGACTTTCGTTTGTGAGTGATCTTTTGAAAGTCAAGAAGAATTCAGAAGTTATGTATAATTTTTAATATTTTCCTTATTCCGTGTTGTTACTAAACTATAGACCTGACCTGATTTTAAACCATACTATAGACTAGATAATAGACTTGACTATAGACTAGATCACAATGCAGACTTTAAACTAGACTATAAAACAAACTATAGACCATACTATAGACTTTCAACAGGACTATAGTCCTGACTATAGAACAAAATATAGTCCGGACTATAGATCGAAGTATACACTGTACTATAGCATAGACTATAGTTCAAACTATAGACCAGAATATAGATCATGGAGCAGACTATATACCAGATTTTATACTAGAATATAGTCCAGACCAGACCAAAGTCCAAATAATAGTCTAAACTATTCATAGCCCAGACATTTGACTAAACTATTGATTCGACTATCGCCCAGACCAGAGACAAAAGACTACATGACTGTCCAGACCACAGAGCAGACCACAGAGACCACAGTGCAGACCATAGACCAGTTTATAGACCAGACTGATGTTCAGATAATAGGCTAGACTATTCACAGTTAACAGTACAGACTACTGACTAGACTATTGAATAGATTATTCTTTCTAAAGTTTCCTTATAAAATCGATGAACTACTGACAAGAATTATAGTCTGTAGACTAGACTGTAGGCCAAAATATAGACCAGTCTATAAACCAGACTGTAGACTCGAAATAGACAAGACTATAGACTAGACCATAGACTAGAATATAGACTAGACTATAGACTAGACTATAGACTAGACTATAGACTAGACTATAGACTATAGACTAGACTATAGACTAGACTATAGACTAGACTATAGACTAGACTATAGACTAGACTATAGACTAGACTATATATATCTAGACTATAGACTAGACTATACTACTATATAGACTAGACTAGACTATATACTAGACTAGACTATAATGACTATAGACTAGACTATAGACTAGACTATAGACTAGACTATAGACTAGACTATAGACTACTATAGACTATAGACTAGACTATATACTAGACTATAGACTAGCTAACTAGACTATCTAGACTATAGACTAGACTATACTAGACTATAGACTATATACTAGACTATAGACTAGACTATTAGACTAAGACTAGACTATAGACTAGACTATAGACTAGACTATAGACTAGACTATAGACTAGACTATGACTAGACTATTGACTAGACTATAGACTAGACTATAGACTAGACTATAGACTAGACTATAGACTAGACTATAGACTAGACTATAGACTAGACTAAGACTAGACTATAGACTAGACTATAGACTAGACTATAGACTAGACTATAGACTAGACTAAGCTAGACTATAGACTAGACTAGACTAGACTATAGACTAGACTATAGACTAGACTATAGACTAGACTATAGACTAGACTATAGACTAGACTATAGACTAGACTATAGACTAGACTATCGACTAGACTATAGACTAGACTATAGACTAGACTATAGACTAGACTAAGACTGACTATAGACTAGACTACAGACTAGACTATAGACTATACTAAGACTATAGACTAGACTATAGACTAGACTATAGACTAGACTATAGACTAGACTATAGACTAGACTATAGACTAGACT